GAAGGTGGACAGATATGCTAGAGGGATTGGAGAAGAATAGGACAATCATGAAGACCATAGTGGTTAAGTGGGAATACCCTTCTAAGGGTTGAGTTAAATACAATACGAATGGAGCGTCTAGAGGAAATCCAGGAGTAAGTTCCTATGCTGTCTATTTAAGGAATGAAAAATAAGATATCTTATATGCAGAAGGAGCAACTATCGAGAGTACTACAAGTATAGTGGCAGAAGCTAAAACGGTCCTAGAAGTAAGCAAACACAATAAGCAGCAGAACCACAACCAAGTTATCATGCAAACATATTCGATGCTAATGAACAAAGTGCTAACAAGAGAGTGGGCAATACCGTGGAACATAGCAGATACAGTTGAGGAAATAAAAGCATGTCTTAAAGGAAAAATAACTTAATTTCCAATATATAATAAGGAGAGGAAATCAGTTAGTGGTTTACTTAGCAAATAAGGCCAATGAATAAGGTAATTGCATATACACAAGTTTTCAAAGCATGGATGTAAGAGGAAGGAGAATAATTAACAGTTACAAATTAAACATCCCATATTTGAGAGTATCACCATAGATGGGAGAATGGGGAAGGGATGGCTCAGCAACACATATATAACATTTGCACTGAAACAATAAGACGATAAAAATGTGAAATGCTTTATAGCCGAGGCTATTCCAGCCAGCAAAATGAAATCGGCAAAAAGTGGGATCTAAGGGCAGATGGGAAGTGTAAACCTGGAAGACATCTTAAACACTGTCTAGAGGACTCCCGTAAACTGAGTGTCAGGTAAATCAATGTTTACAGAACCTTTGCGAGTTGAATTAATCTAACGCTTCTCAGCCTAATCAGTTAATATTCACTCTAATTCTCTCAAACTTAAAGTGCTATCGATAATGGACTTCGCTTAATTTGATATGGTGTTAAAGACCTCTTCTCTCGAACTCCAACTTTAACTCCAATTCGTTAACGTAGTTTACCTTTTTCCTAACAGATGCTTTACTCTCTAACAAACACCAGATACAAGCCCGTCTAAAGCGTACACTCAATAAACTAAAATGATAATGAAAGCTGTAAACTACAAGTTGTAAACAAAGATTGCCTTTTACTCGTTTTACGGAATTGCAACGAGAATGTCGTCATAGATCTCACACACCCAGTCATGATATTTAGCCACTCATGTTTTTACGTAAATAATTAGTATTGGATAATGAAAACATGTTAAGAAATACTTACGAAAATAATTGGTAAATTAACAACCACTTGATAATCTGATAATTGAAATCCAAACTTCAAACTGATACAAAAAAATCTGAATCCCCGATCTAAAGCTAAAAGTAGTACTCCGTTCTTCGTCGTAAAACGTCAGATCATGAATAATCAATAATAATTCAAAAATGACCTAAAGTAATTCAAAATATAATGTTTTAAATGAGTCCTAATCGAATTAAGACTGAGTTGTCGAGCCTTTTCACGGCCACTACCACGACCCGTCAAGGGCTTCACGGTTCGTGAAACCCTCTGTGGTCTTGCCTTGAGCTTCTCAATAGTGAGTCTTCAGACTTGGTCACTAGAAAATGCACCACGAGAGCTATTACGGTCCGTAGTGAGGACCATGGCACGTGAAGCCGCCCGTGGGCTTCACTTGGGAGTTTCAACTTTCTTTTACTTCTTTCTTGCTTTCATACTGGTTCAGCTTCACGGTAGGTACCACGATCCGTGGTGTGGACTACGACCCGTAGAACCCTCAATGGTCTTCACTTGTTATTCTTGCTCTTCATCTGCTTAAGGCCTAGCCACTGCCTCACTTTCACGAGGTCAACCACGGACCGTAATGAAGTTAACGGTCCGTGAAGTTGGCCGTGAACTTTACTTGGTCGGCATCAGGTCTGCTTATTTTTATTCTTTTCTATACAATTCAGATTCTGCCTACACATTTAATAAACCTGTCAAATAATCCAAAATTTCACTTAATTCCAGTGTTAGTTCACAGTTGCTAAGCATCAAATGTGCCTCGATTTCGCGGCACATCAGAGGCGGATTGAAGCTGCATTTCAATCAAGCACCACCTGCAAATCAGACGATATAAGACAGTAAACATTGATGAAAGAAAAATCGGAAACTGTTTGGAAAACAAACCTTGGCGTAAGAGGTCATCCGTCAAACTGAATCCAACATACATGGGGAATCATCCCCATCACCAGGGAACACAACTACATAAGGGGAGATGTAAGAACAAGGAGTTTAGAAGCAAAAAAAGAGCGAGATGAATAGTATCCAGAGCAGGAGGAGACGCAGATGGTGGTTCAACCACGACGGGAGCATTGCAGTTGGGTGGAATCGAAGAGATGATGAAAATGACAATTAGGAAACCTAAGCTAATGGAAAGTGATGAGTTGCGAGAAATACAAGGACAATGTCCGAAATAGGCCTTTTTCTTTACTACTTGCTTTATTATTAGTATAACTTACATAAATCACATAGTGTAAGACCTAAATTGCACTTTATCCCTACTTTTTTTCAATTTACAAAAATTCCTCAAAATCAATGATATCTGGATACATAGCAAATATGTCGGATACATTAAATTTGATACATTAAAACAAATCTAGTTAAACTTTTAAAGGAAAGAGAATATTAAAACAAATTCAGTTACACTTTTAAAAGAAAGAGAATATACAAATGAATGTGAGTTCCCCAAATTACGCTAATCTAATTGATTTTAAAAAAAAAAAACTAAATAACAAAAAGTTTCAAACAATTTCAATGAATATGAAAAAAATAAAATAAAATAAAAAATCATTAACTAAATAAACCAACATCACAAATATAGTAAAAAGAAACCCCAAAAAAATGAAATTAACAATAGAGATAGAGTTACTAGCATTGAAGCATTTTTTTCTGATTGGATATGGTCACTTCATTTGTTGTTTTCATGAAGCTTGGAACTCGTTGGTATGAGATCTGGTTGAGTAGCTTCGCCGGAGTTAGAGTTTGTATTTCGCTAAAACACCTGAAAATTAGCAACTCATAAAGGTGAGGGGAAGAGGAAAAACGTTGGTGGTCTCTAGTTGCTTGTGCCGGTGGAGCTCGTTTTTGTAGCTAATTGGGTCTTGTTCGGTGGTGATTTTGGAGTTGAATCGGAGGTCATCTGTGGTGGCATTTGGTGATTTTGTTTGGCTAAAAAAATCACCCTTTCAATCTCTCCTAAATCTTAACTAATTCAATCAAATCAAAATTCAAATTTTCTACTCTCAATTCTTTTCCAAATCCGCTCAGCTTCAATTCAAAATTCAAATTTTCTCCTCTCAATTTTATTCCAAATCCGTCTAGCTTCAAACTATTCAAGTTTTCTTCTTTCAATTCTCACCCAAATTGTAATAGATTAATAAATTTTGAAAACAATAGCTAATACATGATGAATACATTCAGAAATTTGGAAAAGCAAGGTGAGTTATGAACTATACATAAGTGATGGATTTTAAATTTCTTCTCCAGTTCATCGAAGATCCTTTCAATTTTGCTAACAAGATATTGCTGCATCTTTCAGATTTTTTCTATAACAATTGTTATTCACCGTATCGTCACTCAAAAAAGATCTATATATCCTATATCCTAATCAAAGTCGGAGGCTGAGTCAAAGTCGATTATACCGAAACTATTTTCGTGATGGATGGATTTATCAATATATTACTATTTATGTATCTTGTTTAAATTGATAAGTGTTGTATTTCAACTAGATACATTAAAAAAATTGTTGCCCATAAGATGTTAGGTTTGAAATCGATACATTATTGTTTGGTAATTGTTATATATCAAATACATTTAATATAATTCTGAATTTACGTATCATGCTTAAAAAACTAGTGCATGATACATTATTATTTATGTAACTTATTTTGTTTGAGAGCAGATCCCATATGTATCAGAAATTTGTAGATGAAAAGGCTGATACATGATAAATGATAAATGATACATTTGGTAGAGTTTTTGTATCAAGTATCAATACTAATTAAGGTTATGTATCAAAACTAATATTTGAACACGATACATTGTGCATGATAGAACTGTAATGTATCATAATGTTGAAACGAAGACATTATACATTAGTTTAAGAAACAAAATCAACCAGATGCATTAAAAATCTGAACTTATATGTATAAGAAAAGATAAACAACCAAAAAATCGAAAAAAATACAACAATCTAATCAACGGAAAGCAACGATGATGTATCCTTCTCGGACTAATTGGGTAAGCCCAATACTGAAAGATCGAACCAATGGAATGAAGTGTTTCAAGACCGCCATTAGAAATTTCTAGAACCATTCCAAATGCACTCTAAGAAGAACTATTTGCGTTAGCAACATTTTCCACCCCTTTTCTAGTAAAGAGTCCGGGAGTAACAAATTCAATAATCTTTTAAGATGAAAAAACTAAAAAAAAGTTTAAAGAAAATAAAAATTGAAGTGATGGAAAGAAATCTACCTCTTGAATAAATTGAAATCATTAATTGGAAAGAGAAAAGATTTGAAATTCAAAAATGGATTAATATAGATAACTGTGGAGAGATTTGTGGCTTGAAAAAGATAAGAAAATCATGGGTATGAAATTTCAAATTAATGTATCCGGAAAAGGAGATGATGAGAGCAAAAAAGGGAATTGTTGATATTTTTTGAAATGGTAAGAAAAATAAGAATATATAATAATAAATGATGTGTAGTTATGTAATTTTTCCTTATTAATTCTTGTCTGTTTGGACTTGGGCATTAGGCCCAATGATGTAACTCTTTCTTTATATCATGAAACTGAAAAGTTAACTAAAAGAAAAAATAATTATTATCGTAAATTAATTAAAAATAGTCATAATAGAAAAAGTGCAAAAAGGGACTTCGATATCCAACCTATATAGATGAGTCCTAGGCCTAGTACTATATATAATAGCACAAAATTTTATAAAAAGCCGTCATTTTCCACCGAACATTTCACTCAAAGCCTCATAAAAGGAGCTACTGGTGTACTAGAAAGTCTAGCAGTGGAACTACGCAGTCTTGTGCAAAGCACATTAATTCATTTCTGATATATCAACTTTCTGGCCTTTCACTTTGCATATAATCTCAAATCATTTCTCAAGCTCATATATTGCTATTTGTTCGATGATTCACATCGTGCGTTATTATCTCTCTGAGCACCCTTCTGTTGTAAATTTTCGTTGGAGTCACAGCCAATCATGGGGTAACACGTGGTTCTTCCTCTTCACCTCTATTGCAGCCTATGTTATCTTCTCCCTCTTCCTCCACCTTTTTCTTTGCCTCCTCTTCCGTAACCGCCGTCCTCTCCCTCTCGGCCCCATCCCCGCCGTTCACTCCCTCTCTATGGTCCTAATCTCCCTCACCATCTTCACCGGAATACTCCTCTCCGCCGCCGCTGAAATCCGCGAAACTCGCTGGTTCTGGCGCCGTAACAAAACCACCACTTTCCAGTGGCTCCTCTGTTTCCCTCTCGGCACGCGCCCTTCCGGACGCGTCTTCTTTTGGTCCTACATTTTCTACCTATCTCGCTTCCTCCACACGCTACGTACTTTCTTCTCCATTCTCCGGCGTCGAAGACTCTCCTTCTTTCAACTCTTCAACCACTCCATACTCATATTTATGTCCTTCCTGTGGCTAGAATTCTCGCAATCGTTTCAAGTACTAGCAATACTATTTACAACGTTTTTATATTCTGTTGTTTACGGTTACAGATTCTGGACCGCGATTGGATTGCCAAGCGCGTGCTTCCCGTTTGTTGTAAGCTGTCAGATTCTGTTACTGGGATGTAACGTTCTGTGCCATGTTGGGGTTCTTTTGCTCCATTTCATGAAAGGTGGGTGTAACGGAATTGGGGCATGGGTTTTCAATTCAGTGCTCAATGCTGCTATTCTATTTTTATTCCTCAATTTTTATGTGAAGAATAGAAATGGTGTAAAAGATACTGAAATTTTGGACTCTCTGAAGAATAATGATAGTTGAAGTACATCCAACAGTTTGTCTACTTTTTTTTGTTTTTCACAAAATTTTGTATTGAAGTTATGTCAGTTGGGTTGTAAATTATGTTAAAAGGAATCGACGGAGAGTTCGATCTTTACAGTTATGAGTATATGTATATTACTAATTGATAGAATCTGTAGCCAATGATGAAGTAGTGAAATTCAGCCGGAATCATGGCAAAGTCATTTCACGCATGCTCAATTGCTTTCCTTTTGAGTTTTGATTCTATCCTTTAATTTGACTAAGTTTTTGGAAACACAATTTCAAAAATCTCTTTTCACCAAGAAAAAAAAAAAAAAAAAAACTTTGCTCAGTGGGTTACTCATTAACTTGCTAGATATTTTTTGTGATAATAAAATTAAAATGTAGAGGACGTGTATATCTTAGATTCTTAGTTGTGCGCCCATCGAACATGCACGCATGACTTTTGATGAAAAGGTTATCATTATTAATTAAATTATAAATATATATGTGAGAGTATCTTGAGCGTCGAGCTATATAGAGAGCTAATTAAAATTCTCCTGCGGGTTTATTAAGATGGAGTATTAATAATGTACGTTATATAATTCTGGAAAAATAGAAAAGCAATTAGATGGCATATCCACTTTAAGGCCAAGTGGCCCGTAATAAGGCAATATACTTTATAAAGATTTAATATTTAAATATAGTATTACGCTTCTGGTTCTGTCGCTAGCAAGTACCAAGATTATCCATTTATCTTTATGTTTTTTGAAGTATATAGTAAATTATTTGAAAGTTTCAGTGCACTGCATCCTCCAATGGTATAACCTATATTACTCCTTTCGGTGGCGGATCCAGGAATTAAGCTCAGGGAGTTCGAAATTTAAAGAAGAAGCTCATGTGGTAATGTAAATGCATGGTGAGCGTAGTAACCCCGACATGCTTTTTATACAAGGTATCTCATTGGTTGATAAAAGTTAACACCAAACTAATCAAAGATATTGAGAACAAAGCTACGTTGATAAAAAAAAATTAGTGGATCAGTTGTATTACATAAGTTAATTCCAAAAATACGTGACAATTAAAGGATGAAAAAGGAAGTGAGACGGAGAAGAAAAATATTTACCTTAACCCGCTAAATTTATATTACCTTATCGTACCGCATTAAGCATTTCTTCCTACTTTTACCCTGCTCCATTGAACATTCTTAAAATTTCTTGTACTTTTTATACTTTTATTTTGTAATGTTTTACTTTATTTTGCATTTTAAATTTTTTAAATTAGTATCCATTCAAACACATATTACTAGGAAAATTTTCAAGATTCTCTAAAAGTGGGTAAGTATAGATTTACTAATATTATAATGCATATTCAGAAGATAAATAAATGGCATCGTCAATTTTTTAGTTCATGTAGTTTAATTTACTAGGTTAGTCATCACTTGTTGAAAAAAATGACGAATAAATCAAATAAGTTTAGTTTCCATCTCTCTAAAATAGAATTGAAAAAATAGAAAAGAAATTTCATGAATTCTATTAAATATATATTATTAAAAGGACATCTAATTTATCTTTATATATACAATTCATCATTTTTAAAGAGTGTACATAAAATTATGTTGAAATAAAATGACAAATAGATATAAGAAGAATAAAAAAAAATGTAGTCTAATAAATTTAAACAAAAACAAATTAAAAAAATGACATAAAAGAGAAAAAATAATAAAAAAGAGAAGATGATCCAAGCCCAAAAGTTGAACCCAATTCCATGCATTAAAAAGGGTAAAAAATAAGAGAAGAGCGTAAAAGCCATTGCTGAACCCCTTATCCATTGAGCCAAAGCTTCTCAATTGTTTTCAAGGGATTCATTTTAATATATGTACACATAAAATCAGAATTTGGCCCTATATATATAACGTAATTTTTCGACCGGTCAACCCCCTCGATACAAGCTAGGTCCACCCCTGCTTCCGTCTCTATTTACTCGTTCATTTTTACTTGACACACTTATTAAAAAAAAATTAAAATAGTAAATTTATTATTTTACCCCTATTGACAGATAGAATTTCAAAATTAATTTACTCATTAAAAAGGTTCTATCTTTTCTTGATTTCTAAGAAAATGACAAGTAAAAAGTTAGGACAAATAAAAAGGGGTAAAGGGAGTATCTCATAATTTCAGATCTTTTTTATTAGTAAAATGTTTAAAAGACTTGAAAATAGTTATCACTTTAAGCAATTTATAACTACTCCCTCCGTTCACTTTTACTTGTCACTGTTTGAATTGACACACCGATTATGAAATTAATTAATGATATAAATATTTTACCAAACAATCCCCTATTAAATGATATCTTATAAAATGATTTGGAAAATATGTATTTAATACTAAGGGTAAAATATGGAAAAAAAATATTAAAATAACTAAACATTAATTAATAACTAGCCTAATTCCAATACTAACTAATGGATGCTAAATGGCTAGAAAAATTGGCCAGAATTTGACCAGAAAATTTAAAAAGTCTATAGTATTCTTTTTAGAGCAACTTTCACATATAACAAACACAAAATTCATATTTGTAT